TAAGTTAATTAGATGATGTGATAAGAATGCATCCGCTCAGATACGAACTTTGTTTTACCTATTTGGATGTTCACAGATTTAAGAGCACTAATGGTAGAACACAAGAATCATTCTCCTATCTTTTACCTTCCTATACAAAGGACAAGGATATTTGTAAAAAATGGTCATCTGCCTCCAATAGTTATGTTTCATATACTTAGAATTAGGTCAATAACAGGGGCACAGCACTGGCTTGGCTGGCTTAGTGCTGCCTTTCTATCTGAGGATAGCTTCATTTCATGAATTTCCAGGTACTTTTCTCTAGGTAGAGAGATTAAAGGAGGTTTTGGCTAAAAAATGTTATTGTGCACTTTTAAATTCACTTTGTAGAAAGATACAGTTTTACACCTGCGTTGAAGGGTACTAGTATCAGCTAATTCTGATGAGATTCATAAAAGCAGCCCCTGTAATTAGGAGACAGCAGTACTTTTAATTGTATATTCTGCTGAAATACGTAGTCACTGAACACTAAATATATACTCTATATGTGTGGTGTGATTTTTGGGGTTGTCCTGTGCAGGGCCAGGGGTTGGACTCAAATATCCTGTGGGTCCCTTCCCACTCATGATATTCTATGTACCCTGAGATTTCAGATGTAAACAAGTGCTATTTCTTTCTTCATCTGTAAGATATTAGACATTAAATTATAGTCTCTCCGCACATCACCATTTGTAAACTGTTTTGAATTTTTTATGAGCACAGGGAGATAAAAAGTCTAAACCTGGAATGCTTGCAAATCTTACTTCTTCCTGGTGATCCAAAAGCTAATGAGCAGACCAGAAGCTGCCTGACTCTTCTAGCCTGTGAAAAAGCTCATCCTTTCACCTGTGTTTGAAAGGGAAACATTTCCAACTGTTTCTATTAGTTTCAGCTTTCATTTTCTCTTTGTTTCCCTTCATTTTCATTTAGAGATTATGACAATGCAAGGAAACATTTGGGGGTTAAGTTTCCAGGCTCACAGGGCGCCTACTGTAGATGTCAGCAACATCTGGATTTTAAACATATTTTTGTGTATCTTCACATTGACTGAGGTTGTAATGAAAATTTGAAGTCTAAACTTTGGGATAAGCTTTTTACCCGGGCTGTGCTGCCTGCCACCACAGGCAGGGCTGGCCCACTTCTCACAGTGCTCTTGCCATACCGCAACACAGCTGGTCCAGCTGTTTCTGCTGAAGGAAAAAGAATAATTTGTACATCAAACTTGGAATAGCAGAGGCATCTTCTGTCTGTGTTTGTATTTGCAATATTATATTCACACTAGTTACTAAATAACCCTTACTTACTTTGTTAGATCCTGCATGTAATTGACCATGTTAGTGTTTATGGTGAAATCTCCTCTAGTGTCATTAATTTTACGCCTCTCTTTTCTGTTGCAGTATATTTTTCAAGTATCAATCATTATCTGCAATACTCATTCATAAAGTTATTACACAATTCATCATTTAACCCTTTCTATTTTACCAAGGCACTGACAATTTCAAGGTTTACAAATTGTATTTTTGTGAGAGAAGGAGCTCATTACCTCAGATAGCATCTGCAGAAGTCTTGCTACAGGGTTCTGTTCAAGTTAGACTGCTTTAATTACACTTTATCCTTGCCCCCAGTTTCCACAAAGCAGTACTTATGTGACAAAGAGCCATGCAAAGCTGTCTGTACTGGAGTGAATTTCACCTTTGGGGATTAATTATAAAGAGGTTTCTGTGATGAACAATTTTGCAATGTTTCAATAAGATAGTTAAATCTCCCCAAAGTGTTCAAAAAATTAATTCAAAATGTCAGATTTTGATGGGGTGGTGGTATCAAACCATAAGCATCCATGACTATTTTAATTTCTCTTTACCCACAAACTGATATGAGATAAAACATACAGGAAGAACAGCACTAATAATTCCTGTAGCTTGAAACAAAATTGTACTGGACTTGGCCTCCAGAGCCGTTTCTAAGTAACTGATACTCTGATCCCACAAAAATTAGCTAGGACAGGCAGCTAAGATTAACTAAATCAAAACTATCCCTCACTGCTCCAGCTTCTGCCCTCAATAAGCTTTGGGGTTTTGATCCAACCCTTGTTCAGAAAAGTGGAAATGTTTCTATAAAATCAAGTACAAGTCCACATCAGAAGTAACCTCTTTTCTGGGAAGTAATTTTCATAGAGAAGAAAAACCAGTACTGTTAACGTAAAAACAACATCTCTGAAGCAGGATCCTTGGGTTACCTGTTTCAGTTTGATGTTTGGAAAAATGAAGCATCTCAAAAGGGAGGGAGTGGTTCAAAACTAGTCTCTACAGCACATCTGATTTCTAGGTAGTATTTTCAGAAGGACTAGGAGTTCAAAATCTAGGCAAGTATAAAAATTCAGTGGGAAATGCTTTCTTTCCCCTTTCCTCCACCCGATCTCTGAAATCTGCCCACCAGCTCTGTTAGTTTTGTTACTTCTTTTTTCTTTCGTGCCTGGAGAAGTCTCTCAAACAGGAGGAACCTTAAAATTGCAACAAAAAGTATCCTAAATTTGCAAAATGGAGGAGGGTGGAGAGTTATTTCTCCACTCTTTATTTAATCATAGATATCTCAAAATAAAACTCTTCAGACTCAGGGCATTTCTGTCCCTACAAAACTGATTCATGTCACATAACCTCAGGGATTCAGTTAAACACTATTCATTTAAAATTCCTGTGTGTTGAATTCATTAAGCTCAATTAGCTGTTTTACAGAAGTCACATAGTTTATTTTTATGATATTTCTTCACAAAAAAAGATGTGATCTGCCATCTGTTACCAAAGTTTTGTTCATTACAGTGGAAGCAGAACTGATCTTCAGGGCTGTGCTCTACAAGCAACCCCTGAATATATCCGTCACCCACAAAATAAAAGAACATCTTTATGAAGTTCAGAAGGAAATATCCATCATGCAAGGCTTGCAGTAGAAGCCAATGCATGACAGATTATTTTTTTTAAGCCAGTTTTATGGCCAAAAAAAAAAAAATCACTGGATGGTATTATTAGTTTGAAACCGATGCATTCTATCCAAATAAGGTTACATTTTGGTTTGTGTGGGTTTTGACAGCGACTTCCCAGAGTTACCTTGGGTTTTGCCATTTCTTTGAGGCACAGCTGACCATTTTTGTGGCTATTTGGAAGGCCAGTGCAAGTAAGAGACCCAAGGTACTCGTAGTAGATTTGAGGTGAAGAAGGAGGCAGCCAGAAGACTGGCTGCTATAAATAGCATAAATAGCAATCTATGCTTGCTATTTATTGCTGGCTATCATGCTGAAAAGCTAGAGGAAGCAATAGGCTGCCTTTTTACCTGCACTTCCAGTCTTGCCATTCTCCTGAAATTCTCCAGTGAAAGGTGGTAAGGGCTCCATTCCCAAACAGCTCTGCCTGTGACAGTCTACACAGATACACAGAGGGATGAATGAGTGGGGAATGGCTTCCTATTCATTGTTTAAAGTTGAAGCTCTTCTGCAGCTTTGACACAGTATTGCTGCTGTTAATTCTGCTCATACGCTAGAACAAGAGAAAAAAATGGATATATATGGCCTGACATGGTTCTTTCCACTGTTGTTCCTTCAACCCATATGGGGTAGTAAGGGGAGAAGCAACATTGTCTTGTCTTTTCTATGGCCTTATAAAATCCTGTTTTCTATCACAACCTGCAAATAAGCACACAAAACGTAATTTCTTGCTGAAGCAACACTGCTTACAAAGACTGTTATGAGAAGGGGAGCGTGGAGGAGGAGGACGCACCAGGATGTGAGAAAACAGCAAGATTTTGTTTTTTCTGTCTGGGCAATTAAAATCTGCTAATTGCTCTTTTGCAAGGCATGGGTAGCAATTGTCACATTAGACTGATGTGGAGGGATGTCTGTCTTGTGCTGGAGGTACAACCCGAAGGGTAACTGTGTGCAGAGCAGCACAACCAACCGTCCAAGGGGTTGTCAAGTGCTCCAAGTAATCCAATGTGACGTTTGTGTGTTAACTTTCTCGCAGTTACCTTAATCTGACTTTAGTTCTGAAGTCATTCGTAGGTTGATAGTAAGTCTTCTCAGGTGTGTTTCCAGATACTGAACTAAACCGACTTGGCTCCCACTTTCCACGCTAGTCTTTTCCAAAGGGAGGGTGGGGGATAAGGCTGTGTGAGGCCAGTCCCCAGCAAACCTCCCTGTCCCGCTCTACATGATCAACACCCCCATAAAAAGTAGGCTGAAGGCAAAGCCGTGGAAAACAGCCTGGTGAACCGAGCAGGAGCTCGGAGAACTTTGAAAATCTCCGCACAGAGTGAATCTGAGAAGCTGGTTCAGGAGGTACAGCGCTGTGCGGTGGCAGCAGGGCCGGAGGGAAATCGGGCTGGAAGCGGTCCCGGGGGTAGGGTGGACGAGGGGGGATCTGAGCCAGGAACAAGCCCTGCTCCAAGCAGCGTCCGGGGCAGCCCAGGGGATGAAGAAGAGACCTGCGCCGCTTTTTGCGATGCTCTGAGCGCGACGCTGTGAGGCGCGGGGCGAGGGCGGCCCTGCAGCGCCGGGGCCTCCGGCAGGGCCGCCGCGCCGCTTTCCCCGGGGAGCAGCCTCGGGGGTGGCGCCGCTCCCCTCCCTCATGAACTACAGTTCCCGGCGTGCCTCGCCGCCGCCCGCCCTGCCCGGGCGGGAGCGGGTGGCGCGCTACCCTGCGGGAACTGTAGGCCGGGGGACATCGATGGTCAGCGGGGCGGTGGCAGGCAGGGAGCGGGTGTCGGTTCTCGGCCCGGCGACCGGCCCGGCCCGCGGTCCGCGGTCGAGAAGCGGGTCCCGGGCGGGGCGGGGGCGCCGCGGGGACGCGCGTCAGTCCCCCCGCCAGGCGGCGCGCGCGCTCCCCGCGCCGGATGCTGAGCGGGAGGGGACGGGGGGGGCGCGGGCGCGCGCTCAGCGAGGCAGAGGGGGGTGGGGGGGAGGGAGAGGAGCCGGGGGAGCGCGCGCTCGTATGTAAATGAGCGGGCGTGAGGTCAGAGGCAGATGGAAAAGGGAACAGAAGGAATGGCCGCCGCGGCTCCCGCTCCTCCTGCCGCCGCCTCCCAGTGCCGGAGCCCCCGCTGCACGGCGGAGCGCAGGGGAGTCCGCCGAGAACTCGACTCCTGGCGGCACCGGCTCATGCACTGTGTGGGTAAGAGAGGGGGCGGCGGCGGAGTCCCGGCTGCCCGGCGGGACCGGGGGCGGCGGACGGGGCGGCGAGCGGGCTCCGAGAGAGGGACGGGGAGCGGGGAGCGGGGGCGGGCGAGGCACCCCGAGCCCGGGGCTGCCGGGTGGGCGGAGGGGGGGAGCGGGGATGGAGGAGCGGCCCCAGCGGCTTTCTTGGAGAGCGGGAGCGGAGACAGGGGCTGCGAGGGGGAATGAAGGTCCTAAGCCGCCCCCGGGCAGCGGAGGGTGGGTGTTACGGCTTTGGCTACGGCCGCTGAGTCTTTCCTTTCGCCGCCGACCGAGACCCGTTCTCAGCTCGGGTCCTTTTGTCTCGGCTCCTCGTCCTTGGCGCGGCGAGCGCCGGTGGCTGCCCCCCTCCTCTCCTCCTCCATCGCCACTGCCTGGGGGGCGGAGGGGGGAAGGGAGCCCGCCTCTGTGTGTCTGTCTGTGTGTGTGCGTGCGCCTTTAAGAGGGAGCCGCTCCTGCACTGACGGTTGGGATTTGAAGTTTTCCCTCCCCCTGGAAGTTGTCATGGCGACGGCAGCTCTCCCCCCGCCCTCCCCGCCCCGGGGCTGTCCCGGTCGCTCTCGTGCCGGGAGCTTCCCGGGCTCACGTGACTCCCCCCGCGCGTGTCCGGCGGGCGGGGGCGCGCGGGCACCGGCGGCGTTCCCGCCCGGAGCAGCCTCGGGAGCGGGTCTGCTCCCGCTCCGCTCCGCCCGGGATAAGGCAGCCTCCCCTCCCCGCCCCTGCCCCTGTAAGCGCTGGCACTCCGTACGTGTGCCGCCTCGATTTGGGTGGGTTTTGTTTGTTTCTTTCTTTGTTTGGTTTTTTTTGTGGGGGGGGGGAGTGAACACTGATGCCAGGAACTGCTTTATTTGTATTGTTTCAACAGACGTTTCCCTTCTCGGGGAAGTAGATAAGATCCTTGGTCTCCAAGTAGCGCGTTACTGTCAGTGCCTATCCTCCCCGATGGCTGAGCAGGGAAGCACATCCAGTGTGGCTGGGAGGGTTCATTCAGTGCTGCTGAGTGCACTTGAGATCAAACTAAGAAGTGAATATCTAAGTAGGTACACTTACAGGCAGTTAGCTTTGTTCGAGTGAAACTGAAAAATACATTTTTCAGTAACCTGGTGGCTGCTTCATACAGACAAGCTTCTTGATCTTGCTGTGTTGCCCTGATAACTCTTCTAAACACCTGTTATAACACCTGTATGATATCGTACTTGTATATGCTTGCACTGTCCTTTTAATCCTCCAAGTTTAATCCTCCAAGTATAATATTGTATAGGAAAGCAATGTTTATGTATTTCCTTACACAACTACACTAGATTATACTTCTTGCTGAAAGAGTGCAGTTTAATTGGAATATACAGGGAGAGCCAGTTCATTGGCATAGATGCTGTGATAAGCTGTTAAATCTCATGGACAGATATCTCTGCCAGTATGTAAGTGGCAATTTCGGTGGTTACCCGTTACTTAATGGCATTTCTCTTACAAATTTAAATTAAATCTCAAAAGTCTGCTTGACACAGTGGATGACTGAAGAAACATTGGGGCGGTAATTGCATACTGCTAGATTTGTTCAGGAAATGCAGTTGTGCAGCACGACCAACAATGAAAAAGAGAGTGCAAAGAAATATCACACCTTGGGTTCTCTGCTGGGCAGATCTGCAGTGTTTGGGAAACTTCTTAGAGTTGCTTCTTTGGTTGTCCTTTCACTGAGAATTGTAAAGTGCAAAACTGTCTCATAATTACTGATATTTTACACTGATTTTTACACCACTCTAGTGGTGCTTCTCATTCAGCTTTCTCTTCATTGGAATAAAACTTATTTAGGGTATGATATCTTTGTGTGTTCATGATGTAGAATTCAGTTAATTCAGAAGGGAACCCTGACATGATTAGCAACTGCTAAGGAGGAAGGACATTGATTATGGTTTAATAGTTAGTCAAGAGCTGTCTCAGTTAAGAACTGTTACTTGGCATGCCAGTTGAGCAGCTCTTATCAGAAAGTGTCAACAAAGTGGCAAGTGAGTAGTCCTGATAGAGGAGGTAGAGTATGCCTAACAGGTTTGGGCTGGGTTGTTTTTTGTTTGTTTTTTTTTTTTTTACCTCCTTCTTTGAAATCCTGTTGCATTAAGTTCTGTAAAAAAACCTCCCACAATAGCCCAAAATAACTTCCAAAGTAAAAATAGTTCATTGTTCTCACTCACCCAAGTATTCCCAAGGATTTGAAGAGTCTAACAAAGTATTAATGGGAAGGTCTGAGTGAAGGTCTGAACAGTTGCTGGGTTGATGGCTGAAATGGCAACATGGTGGAGGGAGGAGTGATGAGTATGACAGATTTGGCATAACTTACTTTTTCTTTCTCCACTTCTTCTCTAGAATCATATTTGTAGTAAGGTGAGAAAAACAATGTGGTAAGGCAGTAACCCCCCAATTCTTGAATTAGCTTACTGTCAATCCTAACAAAAAACAATCCAAACAAAAAAGCATCGCCAACAACAGATCATTCTACCCTTAAAATTCTTTTTAATTTTGAAAAAAAATGTAGAAGGGCGATATGATTCTGCGGACTATCATTTGTGAAGGATTATGGTCGGAGAGCAGAGCGAGAAAGTACAGACTCCTTTAACAAGTCATACTGTTTCTGCTACATTCTTCAGATATTCAGCAGTATTTTGATGTCCTTGTGTCATTTACCGTATTGATATTAAATTTTATATTTGCATTTCAGTAGTATAATCCTTTATCTCTCAAGGATTCCTCACCCACTTTCTTTATGGAAGTGGTAAACTGAGTCAGGGATAATACCTCCAAGACAGTGATTGAGGCTCACAGTTGACATTTTTATCCACAACAGTAAGACTGAAATAATATTCAGTGGAGGGCCAGTGGTGGTTAGGGACCTCTGCTCAAAGAGCTTAATTGCTGAATTGTGTGTTGGTCAAAACCTGGTTGCAGACTTAACTCTAAAGCCCATGCATATATTTAAAAGCTTGGGTTTTACCAGCCTAATATGTTAATTTGTGTCCTGCAGAATATGATTTAAAGTCTCATGTCAAAATGTTCAAGCACTTAAAGAATTTGAGAAGAAAAACAGTGATAAAATTTCACCGACGTTACTGAAAATTTGCTTATTTGATATCTAAACATATTTGAAGGTACAAAAGACTTCCCATTGTAAATGAATGGAATATATTAACAGAAATTCGAAATAGGTGTTCAGTACAAAATATCTGTTGAGCTGGTAATCTCTGTGTGTGTTATGTTGAGCACTAACATTCCTAAGATGCCTGGACTTGTGCTTATTGGATGTTCCTAACTCTTGCATGACTCAATCAGAGTTCAAAACTAGATGCTCTTTAAAGGCACCAAGAGATCTCCATTCTCTTGATGTTCTTACAGCATGCATAATACAAGCTAACAAGTACTGTTTATAGCAGTGCTCACTGCTATGTTTTGTCCTAGGATCAGTCTTTGTGACATAACATCTGAAGTTCTGAGTTTATAGAAAAGTGACAGAAAGCTCAGATTTGAAGTACCTGACTTAGCCAGTAACTGAGTTCTGTGGTGGTTTAAATTGCAAGGTATTTTGTAGATGTTGTATCGGAATGGTTAAGAATTGCTCTTTGGTGCTCTTTGATTAAAACTTTGTAATGTGAATCGGTTAATTCTATTCCGTTGGATTGAGAGGCTTTGGCAAGTCTGAGTCTTTTGTAAGTCTAGCTTTGTGGTCAGCCTTAAGAAAAAGGATTTATGCCATTTTTTCCAGCAATCATTGATCCTACTGCCCAGTTTCATTTCAACTTTACAGGTAGAGTGTTGGCAAGTACATTGAGTTCCCATTACTTTCATGAATAGGCACAGAGGAAAGACCAAATAATTGCTGGGGTGCCAGAAAAAGCTTCAAGCATAACGTTGTGCTTTTACTATATTATCAGAGTATCCTAGGGGTGAAGTTTGGGGCAGTAACACAAGGCTTTTTAATGCGAAGTGCCAGGTAACTCCAGTCATGGATGTTGAAATCTTGCTAGGGCCTTGCAGTGTGTCATGAAAATATAACAGTAAAATTTTCATTTTCAGTGAAAGATTAGATTATTATTGCAACTGCTTTTTGGAAAAAAAATACATTGCTATTTGGGGGAAGGGCAGAAGTCTTACTGTTCTGCTGCAGCTCAAGGGCACACATTTCACAGGAAATAGCCTTGGTATTGCTTTCTTATGAAAACTGAAATTTGATCAAAGCAAAAATCCATTTTTGTGAAATCTAGCATACAAATACTCCTTTACTCTTGTTACATTTTTTCAGACTTTTTTCCTTCAAAACTAGGATATTAGTGCATCTAATTCTATTTTGATAGGTCTAGACCTTAAATTTTTTTTTAAGTGTTTGAACTTCTGCTCCAGCTGACTATTTTTGAACAAGCTGTCTTGCAGGTGCACTTCCAAAGAAGAGGAATTTCCCCCTGAAAAAAGATTTGTAGCAACTGCATTTGGTGGCATCCCCACTCTTGCAACACTCCTGCATTAAGTACTTTGTATCTTTATTCCCACAACACTAGCAGTGTTCTCACTTTCAGTGTGGCTGTAAGTACTTTGCAGCAGGTTAGTGTCACTTTTTTTTTTTTTTTGGTAACACTACTGCAGTTTTAGGTGATTTTCTATAGTTGCCACAGTAGTAGTGGGAGAACTTTATTTTACTAGACATCTATAATGTTCATGAGTATCTGCTAATGATCTTTCTGGTGGCTCAATGCTCTGTTACTTGTCAGGGTACTAACAAACTGTGCAAGAATGATTTCGATAGGATACCTGCTTTGAACTCTTTTGCTTCCCTGTCACTCCAGCATCTTTAACCAGTGAACAAGCCTGCTGTAGTGCCATCGTCCATGTGATGGACAGTAATACTAGTGTAAGGTGTTCCTGTGGATCTGTTGTGCTTTGAGTTATTCCAGTGTGAAACAGATCAAGGAAGTAATCTCA